CCACCAGTCATGCACCCTTTTCTGTCTGCCACCATAAAGTCCGAAAGCAAGACGCAGGCACATAAGGGAGAGACACAAACACACGTACAGTGAAGACACTTATCAGCTAATACCTAACACACAACTCGCTTTTCATGTTTATGTACACTCTGCAAGCACACAAAAGCTCTTCATGAAATGTGAAACATTTCCTAACTGAGCCGTAATAAACATTGCCCCTTGAGTTTTCCCAAACCTTAGAGCAGTACTCTTTTTATTTTTGTTTTAAATCAATCTTGAACTTAGTTGGCCTGCATGCATATAAACCCAATTCCTTGAACATTTTTTAAAAAAAGGCTTCTTAACCAGCCAACAAAGGTCAACGTAAGGCCCAGGAGTGTCATGCTACATCTAAACATGCTCAGCAACGTTTCACAAACCAACATGTTTCCGTTTAACGTACTTATTCAAGTTGCATATCTTGTAACTTCCAACATATTTTCTAGCCCCAACATCATGATGCATGGTCAAAATTAGACCAAACTAGACTAGTAAAAATGGTCCAAGTGCTCCCAATAATTTAATTAATGTAGGATTTCTAAACTTTAGCAAATTCCCTATTTTACTGTATTTTATTGTATTTTTCAACTATGTTCTTTAAGTCTGAACCTTTGACAGTATTTTTTCACCACTCTGCGAGAATTTGCATTCCTTTTGTTTATATTATCTTCACATTTCTAAGTCACTGATTTTCCACATGCACAAACATTCATGCATGTATGTTTATGCTTCCTCCTCCTTGAAAAGAAAAACTTTTTAAACCTGTGGCACTGAGTGCACAATATGCATTATGACATTTGGCAGACTATCAACCTGGATGTGCAAAATAGAATGAGGTTTCCAAGGGTCTACTGCATAGGTGCACATGGACAATGTTGAAAAGAAAAACAAAATGAAGCTTTTTAATACAGAGCTATAGAACAATGGCCAGGATGTGGGATGCCCCAGGACATTCGTTGGGATGACTATGAAGGATATGGTGGAAAGGTTGGTGCTTTTTTAATGAAGTACAAATGTTTGATCAAAGACTGGGGAAAAGCATTACTCAGAAACAGGAAGAGGTGTAGACTGCATGAGATACAATCACTTATATTATTCATTTTCCCTGTCACCACCAACTCACGGGGTTGTTGCCAAACCAACACATACAAATGAGAGACGATTACATGAAAGGCAGCTGAGGATGGGCGCACCTCCAAGCTAATTTACAGAACAGCCCTCGTAAGCAACATTGATATTATCCTCATACAGTCAGAATTGGAAGGAACCTTAAAGATCATCTAATCCATTCCGCAATACAATGCAGGCACTGCAATGCAGAATATAGCTACACCACCCCTGAGAGATGGCCAGCTAGCATCTGATTAAATGTTTCCTACCATACCAAAAAAAAAATGTAAATGTAGAGAATATTGAATATGAAACACCTTCATCATCATGTGCTGTCAAGTCAATTCCAGCTTATGGCAACCCTTTCCATGGTTTTTGAGACAAGAGAATACAGTACAGTACATAGAAGGGCTTTACCAATCCCTTCTTCTGGGAGTGTCCTGGGACTGTGCAGCTTGCCCAAGGCCACAAAGGCTGGCTTTACTTGCAGGGGGCACAGTGTGGGATCCAACCCCCAAGCTCTGGCACCACAGCAAGCTACCTAAGCCACTGAAACTATCTAACCAGCTCCTCTGGCAAAAACATAACAATAAAACCTCCTTAGAACTTTGGTTGAGAAATTGCATACACAAGCTATATGGTGGCAGATAAAATTAAAAAGAACTATGGGAGGAGAATTAGTCTTTAATACCACCCGAAGGGTGACAAATTTGGAAAAGCTAACTGAAGCAGAGGTTCCCTGCGCCCTAGCACAGTAAGATGCAAAGTACAGTGGATTCGTCTGTTGCCAGCAGAACTAGAGAACAGAACTCAACATAAAGACACAGAGTTCAGCTGCTTTAGTTCCTCCAGGCTATCACTGCTTATTCACGAAAATCCCCATGAGAGATTCCAAAAGGACTTTTGAGCAATTCTCACAAAATGTGGCCTGACAACAAAACAACAAGACTCTAAAACGGGGTCAAGATGACAGTCGGTTTCCACATTATAAGCCTACTGCGAGAAAGAAAGCACAAGGTGAACTTCTAGCAAAAAAAAAAAAGGTGTGGCACAACTCAGGATTCTTCAAAATTGACTCATTAAAAACAAGTTCTCTCTAAGCTGAATTGCCACTGGGATTTGCCAGTCTCAGTTCACCAGTCACGTCATCAACAAGCCTCTCCCAGATCCTTTGGGGGGGGGGAGCCATCTTTTCTGCTATGCCCAGCATTCCTTCCTCTTCTCCCTTATGGGTGCCTATTAATAGAAAGAAAGGAGGGGGAAGGGAGAAGCCAACCCTTTCAGCTTCCCCCAAAGCCTAGCTGGATCTTCCTTCTTCCTGTGTGGGCGTGGTAGAGCCGCCAGCAGCTCCACCCGCCTCTTTGGCTTCTCCTAAAAACCCAGAAAGGGAAAAATAGCCTTCCTGTTCAAACTCACAGGCTCCTCTTTCTACCCAGAACACCCCCCACCCTATCCACTGGGGCCTGGCTGTCCAATTGGAAAATAATTAGATAGCAATTTTATTTATGACTCCCCTTTCTCCCCCTCTCCCCCATTTTAATGGCTAAATGGTGACTCATTTTGGCAGCATTAGAATACACAGGAAGTTGTCTCTGTTTTACAGCCACCACTGTTCATTTGTTGTTAAATATTTATCCTACACAATGATGCTTGAAAGGAATTTGAGGGCCTGTTTGTGCAGCTTTCTCAGAGATTTCAAGGCAGTTGGATCAGATCAGAAAAAGGCCGGGACAGATCAGAAAAGAACAAGGGAAAGAAAGGCCTAGGCATCCATTCTTTGGAGGACAGCTGTGTTAAGACACCTGCATGCTGCATGCTATTGGACTCATGCCACATATTCAAGATCACACCCTTGAACTCAGTATTAATCCAGAGTAAATACCACTCCCTGGTGCCAAGCACACAATCAGCAATGCAGATTACAACCCCATTTCATCCATCAATGTGTGTCAAGGGAAATGGTTTGGAAGGAGCCATCTACCCTTTTCACAGTCTGTAGACCCATACCTTTATATTTTTAATCATTAATGAACAACACAAGGCAATTAAGTGATCCTAAGTATATATCCTCAATCAACTTTCATGGACTCTTACTGGGATCCTCTTCCCTAGAGACCTATGCATGAATGTACAATTCCCCTGCCCCCCATTCCTATAAAAAGAAAAAGAAAACTGACTTAGCATTAAGATATACAAACATGTGCCTTCCAACACCGGAAACAAAACTTACTCTAGCATTAGAACAAATTTTCCTCTAACATCCAAAAGCTGAAAACCTCTGAATAGCTTAGGGAGTGAACAGAGATCTCCTTGCCCCCACCCCTACCCCACTGTCAGGGCAAATTATAGCCTAAAGCTGCTGGGGCTGTTCTAGGGAAGTTCCCTCCCCCAACTGCAAAATAATGGCTTGTCAGTGGGCTACCTTTTCCAGCTGAACAGCCAGAAAAAGGTGACTTCACATCACTCTCCATAGCATGAAGCCACATCAGATTTCCTTTTCCTAACAGATGGGGGGCGGGGGAGAATAGTGGAAAGGAAAGAGGGAGATATCTGGTGATTTGACATTGACAAGCCTTACAATAGGAGAGTTGCATTGTAAGCCAGGTCTTGCTCCCAGCCCTTGGGAGCCAAGCTGCCTGAAACCAGATTTCACTGCACGCAACCTTCGAGCCCATTGGATTTCCTCTCCACCCCATTCTTGTGTGAGAGAATCACAGGGGTTGGGCTTTTAGGAAAGATTCCCAGAACAAGCAAAAGAGCTTTGGGTGCTTTTTGTTCTGTTTTGTTTTTTGTTTTAAAGCAATGTTGGAGACAGCTGGTGGAGAAGTTGCTAACAATCATATGCACTTTCAACTGACTGGAGTAAATATACACACACACACACACACACACAAACACACACACAGAGGAGGGACTCTTTAAGAAAGGTCACCTTGGCTCTGCTTATCTGTAGCCATATACAAATGGACTGTAGCTTTAGCTAATTTCCTCCTGTTCTCCAAATTGTTTGCAAAGCACTTAGCAGCTTTAAAGGTCCCATTGTTTTCACCCTGTTACAAAAGCACCTCTGAGACCACCATGATACATTCCATCCCCCATGTCACACACACATTGAATAGCCACATTCAAATGGAAAGACTACACACACACACTCTCTCTCTCTGTCTCCCCCACTGGTTTATCCCCTCCCTTCCCCCACCACATCCTGTTCGGAGAGGGTCCATTTCCCCTGATGCATTTCTAATGAAGCCTGAAAAGATCATGTCAGCTTTTGTTTACTTTCTCATTTTCTCCACATCTAAGATGTCAGCAAAGCACTGGGATAGGTGGAGCAAGGCTGTGCCATGCAACTTGCATCAAATCATACTGGCAGTGATGGGAAGATATATGTTGCAGGGAAAAGAGAGACCAGAAGTAACGATCCTTATTTTAAAAAGAAAGGTCACCTTTGGATGAAATAGTTCACTTTCTTACTGTAAAAGGTTTCTTCTGAGTAGAAAGGACCACCTTTTTCATTAAGGATAAAACTGTTCTTAGCAAAATAAGAGATTAAAAAATGGGGCTTTTGGGCCAACATCAATCCAGTTAGTATGCAATCAAGAAAACTATAAGAAAGGGAGAAATACTTTCACTGCACCACCACTTATTTACCTCATGCAAATAGCTTCAGGCCTGACAGATCTTATGTCACTGTGGAAGGCATTTCTGTTTTCTTTTTTTTCTTTTTCTTTTTTTTTGAGAAAACAGGAGGCTCTCTGGGGCAGGGAATTGTTTCCTAGCATTCCTGTGTTACCACTAGTTGCAGTGCTTGTAAACATGAAAAGGGGAGGCAGTGTTTACCACTCACTTACCCTGATCTCATTGCGCCGAATTTCCACGTCACACACAGAGTGTCCTTGGTGGGCCCCACTGTAGTAACAACAGAATTGGCAGACAGCAACCTGCTCAGCCTCGCAGTGGTACAGTCGGTAGGCATTGTGCTGGGGGCAACTCCAGGCCCTGACATCATCGGCCTCCACCAGGAGGTGCCCACGGGCTGTGGAGGGCTGCTGCAGGTGCGTCTGAACATGAGACTGGCAGCAGGGAGCTTCACACCTCAGGCAGATCTTCTGGGCAGGCAAAGGTGGCCCACGGCGGCAGAAGACACAGTGTAAGACAGAAGGAGTCTTTTCTAGGTTGAGAGAGTTGAACTTCTCCACAATGTTGGTCAGCTTTAAGTTCTTCTCAAGGTTAGGCTTCTGATTGTAGGCCTGGTTACATTCAGGACAACGTACTAGCCCCGTTTCTTTGGCCCAAGCTTCTCCTATGCATCCCCTACAGAAATTGTGCTTACAAGGAAGCTGAACAGGTTCCACAAAGACATGCAGACAAATGGGGCATATAAGCTCTTCCTCAAAACAGTTCTTCCAGTTTTCAGCCATGTCTCTTATTTTTTTTTTTTAAAAAAAAACTCTCTTTAAAAGTCAGCTTTTGGTCTACCAATGTAGAGAATGTTGGGTTTCCACTTTTGCAACAGAAAGGCCACTGAGTTGCTAAGAAACCAAAAAATGAAAATAAAAACAATTAAATTCAGATCTACAAAAATTCAAAGCAAAAAATTCTCCTCAAGAGCCCAACAGCAAAATCCAAGAAATGTAGTGAAGTTAACTACCAATATGCAAAGCAGAAAATGGTTCTAAAGTTTAAAACTGAAACAATCTTAACTTTTATCAAGTTTTTACTCACAATTCTGAAAAGTAAAACTTACCAAGAATTGAAAAAAATCCATATAAAATCCGGAAGCAGGGAGTCCAAATGCCATATAAAACTCTTAAGTTAAGCACTGCCAATTTATCATGAGTTTATGCAGAATATTTGATCTGGAATAACTGATCTCTCTCCTGAATAAACACAAGCAAATGACTTTTCAAATGCTTTCTCTTTCAAAATTTAAGTCTTTAATTGAGTCATCAAAAAAAAGGAGATAAAATCCAAACTGAAGATGAAAAATGCAAAGGAGAAGAAGGAAAACTATGACAGCTAACTTCTAATGGAGCCAAATGGTGCAAAAAGAATATATGAATAATTCTTCATTAGCTTTAGGACAGTGCAATCTCAGTACCATTTGGATGAAATTCCAGCCTAGAGCCAAAGGGACCCTCCCATCCTTCACTCCTTTTCACAAATAGGAATGAGGAGAGAAAGAAGGACTTGTGAAGGCAGAAACTGAAGCTGAAGACAAATTCAACCAAGATCAACCTGCTCCCAAGAGACACTGGGATTTCACCTTCTCAAAAATCTGTCCCAATTTTTCATTTATAAGACAGCGACGGAAAACAGTACTCCTGACGCAAAATCCCTAGTCTTTTGGAAGAATGATGGGTTGCTCTCACTGGAAGAAAAACAAGTATGCCTTGATCAAACTGAAAAGGAATTTCTCAACTGCTAATGAAGAGCCCAGCCCCCGCCTCTTCCCCTTTGCTTCTCTGTTTTCCTTCTGACATGAAAGCTATTTCTCCTTTTGGAACCAGCCTGCAAAGGGGAGGGGGGCGGAGGGGGGGAGGGAGAGGAGGAGAAGGACAGACACGCACAAGCTTAAAGGGAACCGCTGAAATGTACAATTCCAAGAGGACTCGGTTAGTCCTCAGCCATTTTGAGCTGTGTTTTTTTTTAATTGGAGGATTTAAAAAAATAAATAGAAACGAATCTATTAAAGGGGGGGGGAGAGAAGTGGATGGCACCACCCTGCAAAATGTGCGCTTTACGTGGGTTGGGGGGAGAGAGAGAAAGACCGGGAGAGAAGGGGAGGACTCTAAATTGAGTTTATACAGCCGCAGCTGCTGTGCCTTTTCGCTTTTATCATCAGATCAAAAAAAAGCCTACATGCTCCTCACAACCACCTCCAGCCATCTTGGGTCTCCCCACACACACACACGCACTACACTTTAAATAAAAATCTATTTTTAAAAATATACAGATATACCTATCTCCGACACCTCTCGCTAACGCTCCCCTTAGTCACGAACAACACGAATTAACTGGCACCCCGACGGATCAGGCGATCTCTTTCACCTTTGCCACATGGAAAAGCAGCACGGACGCGCGACCCACGGTTTCAAACCAAAGGCATAACGCAAATTAAAAGACGGAGAGGGATCGCTGGCTATCTCGCACCACACTAACACGCAGAAAGGAAGCAGGGGAGGGGAAAATATGTAAATTCCGGATCCTTTAAACCAGGGATAAATTTTCTCCCCCAGAAAAGGGCCATTTATCGATTACGAAGATCCATAACCAAAATTTAAAAAAAAAAAAACTAAACAGATTTTAAAAATAATAATTTCCCAGTTCCAGGCAGAGAAGTGGAAAAGGGCTAAACCGAGAGCTTTGGGCTGCTTAAGAGAGATTTCCTCCTGCATGCATACCGATTAAAAACCCTTCAAAACACGCCACACACAAACACACGTCAAGGTCTCAGCAATATAATGCAAGGCCCGAGCTCCGGGGTTGATGGCACACACGCACAAAAAGAGAGAGAGAGAGAGGTCTTTCGAGGGACTCGAGGTGGCAAATCAAGGTGAAGAGAGGTTGCCTATAGGTAGGAAACGGGAGGGATGCTTCTGCCGCTGCCTCTTCCTCGCCTCCCCGGGGAATGAAAGCGCATTAGGGTTGGTGTGAATGGGGGGAAGCAGAAGAATGGGGCGGGGGGGGGAGAATGAAGGAACCCAAAATGCAACCCTTCTCTCAGAAAATGGTTGCAGTTGCAAATGTTTTGGTACTCACATGTTCATTTCTTTGGTTCGCATTGGAACAACACAAACACACACGCACAAAAAGAGAGAGAGAGAGAGAGAGGTCTTTCGAGGAGGGACTCGAGGTGGCAAATCAAGGTGAAGAGAGGTTGCCTATAGGTAGGAAACGGGAGGGATGCTTCTGCCGCTGCCTCTTCCTCGCCTCCCCGGGGAATGAAAGCGCATTAGGGTTGGTGTGAATGGGGGGAAGCAGAAGAATGGGGCGGGGGGGGGGGGATGAAGGAACTCAAGGGCGGAAGGATGACTAAAGATCAAGGGCGCATAGCAAGATTTCCCCCTTCCCCCCCCTCAAGGTTTAAAGAAACAGCGGCTGAATCCGATCTCCGAAGAGCAGGGGCCCCTTTAACCGAAGCCGAGTCAATCGTCAATCAATCGATTGATCCGACTGGATAACGAAATGTGGAGTCCTCGAGAGGAACAAGGACAAAAATGAGAAGAAGAGGGGAAGGGAAAAAAAAACCGAGTGAAAGAAAAATCTGGAGTTCCAATCCGGAGTGAGTCGCTGCTCGAGCTGCCTGTGGGCCTCCTCGGCTGGATTCGGTCCCCTCCTTCCCTCCCTCCCGCCGGGTCTGAGCCCAGCCCAGCCGCAACCACCACCGCCAGCCGTTTACTTCCCGGCTCGGTCGACTCCCTCTTGGCGGCGGCTGGAGCCGATGGTGGCGGTGGTGCTGCTGCTGCCGCCGAAAGGCTGCTCAACCCCCTTCTCCCCGCCCTCACGTGATCCGCCACAACTTGATACATTACACACAACGCGTCCGGGTTTTCTTAAAGGGGCAATGGCACGCCTGGCGAACGACAAGGTGGGGTGAGGTGGGCCCTCCTTCTAGTAGGCCTCTACAGTAGTTCGGTGTGTCGGCCTTCGTACTTAGATGGTGGTGGTGGCGGCGGCGGGCTTGCTCTCGGAGCCCCTTCGGTCTGCCGGTGGGGAGGCAGCCATTACTGGCCTCCCCCGCTCTGTTCTCCGACCTTAACTGCATGTCAGGGTATGAGTCATAGTGGGTCACCACCATCACCACCGCCGAGGGGAGGGGAAAATGTGGCCAGGTCTACCTGTTTAATAAGCACAGGACTTGTTTTCTCACAACGTCGCTGAGAGAGGTTTATATGTGCCGTGCACGCCTGGTAGCAGACTGCCTGGTGTCCCCGCGGTGCTCTTTGGGAGACCGACCCTCCTATGCCATGCCTTTCAGGCATCTAGGACTGTGCTCTGGCCTATGGAACATTGGTAGAGGTAGCGAGATGAAGAACATCCACCTGGGAAATTACCCTTATTTAGTGGCACTGTCATCTGTAATGATAATTTAATTTTCAAAAAAGATATTTAATAATTGCTGGAAATCTATGCAAACAAAGAAAACCACTTTCCACACAGCTATGGCAGACACAGATGCCCTGTCCTGGAAGTATGACTAATTCCCTGAAGGATATTGAATTGCACGTTCCTGCCCTATCCGACTTTGTCTAATTTGGCTAATAGATTATCTAATTTTATTTATTTATTTATTTAATTGGACTTCTACCCTGCCAATCTAGACCAAATGTCTAATCTTTTATACACTGCTGCTGATACGAATTACCATTTATTTAGTGGCAGTGGAAGACTAGATGCTATGTAGGTCTTAGTGACCTGATATGGGGATGTTGTTCCAAAATATTTTCAAGGCACCAGACTGAGGAAGATAGGTTTGCAGGAAGGCAGGTCTTTGCTAGCCAAAAAAATGGCAGTGATGGAATGGGAGGGAGGACTCTAGACTGGCTCAAATAATAATGCTAGGAAGAAGAAACCATAGTTTGGAATTAATTCATAGTGATTTTATGCAACTATTATTTCAAATATTCAAAATATCTTACACTATTGCAATAAATAGTAAAAGCAGTAAAATGTAATTTATAAACTCCAAGTGGCAGTCAATCCATAAATACCTTGCTAGAGACCTTCTTCTTTGTTGGTAATGAAAATCATACTTCCATTCAACTTTCCTGCTATAGATCTATTTGAATAAAATTAATATTGTAATGCTTGGCTTTTCAATCCTAAATCCAGTTCTCTTAAAGCTGAAAGCTGTGTTGGCAGCGTACTATATTTTAATTTGTATTTATAGTATTAGAAATGACTAACAAAGGATTTCTCCACTCCCCAGAAACACTAGTGGCACCTACTGTTTTTTAATTCTGTGTTTGAAAAATATGAGCAACCTCCCCCCCTTTGGAAGTGAACAGAGTGGTGTATCTGTTATCAGAACTTTTCTGCCAATCTTATCAGCCAGCGGCAGCTTTTCCCACGATGTGGGGGAGAGGGTTATGAGTTGAAATCCTGGAAAATATGCAGCGTGCAATCTTCTTTTCTACTGTGTAAATAAATTGTCCAGGAGAAAAATTCAAAAGCTCAGATTCATGTCAGATTTAAAAAATAAAAATAAAAATAAAAACCCCGAAGTCACAGTGCGGAACCATGAGTGTTACAATGAACTCCTTAATGTGAAACTGAGAATTGATTTGTTAAAAGCTAATCATTTTAGAGTACAGTATATTATGAAATTAGTTATGTTAATCATTAGTTACATGTTAGTGATGTGCTATTTTTACATTTTAATAAGATCAGTTAAAATAACTAAAATGGTTGCCATCACAAATCACCATCCAAATTAACACAGAACATTGTTTTAATATTATTAATAGTTTAAATAACAATCAACAATGTCTTTTAAAATTATGAAAAACTATAGTGTATTACAGGTGATGAAGGAATTTTTGGTAAATCAGCTGCAAGCCCTATTGAGTTCAATGGAGTAAAACTGCCTTCATAGGATACAGACAGTGTGGTTTAGTGGTCAGAGTGTTCTACCAGGACTTGGGAGATCCAGGTACTGTACTAGTCTCAACCAGCAATGAAACTATGAGTAGCCTTGGGATAGTTGCACTCATATCTCAGGCTGACCTACCCGCAAGGACACTGTGAGGATAAAATGCAGAGCAGGAGAGCTATTTATGTAGCTTTAAGCTCACTATAGGACAGTCAGGATATAAATGTAATGTTTATAGTAATTGTTTAGAAGCAACATGATTCCCAAGAGCAGGCAAGCTGGCATCGAAGATACCAGGAGGTAAGGTTAGAATAGGTAGAACATTTACACTTTATATTCCACATTCTCTTCAAGATGAAAGGGCCTTTGGGGGGGTGTTCTTTCTAAATCCCCATTGCTTATTTTGTCTGATACATAAAAATGGATGCATTTGTATACTGACTGGAAAGTACAATTAAAAAGCTGAAGGAAAGGTTGGGCAGCACTTTTATAAGACCCCTAAAAATTACAGTTTTAAGTCCTCTTTTGACCCCTTGTGGTCTTCATCAATTAAAAAGCTGTGTTGCAGAAAATGTATATTGGTAGTCACTTGTCTATGATTGGAGCAGGTCTCCAAATCAATACTAAACTGACACTATTTAAACCACTGTAATAAAACAAGGTACTAAATGCCAACCAAAGTACAGTATAAGTAAATCTAACCTGTGAAATTCATTTCCTAGAAATCAAATGTCAATGGTTATTTTTAATACTGTATTTTTTTTAGATTGTGGTTTATACTGTGCGTATTCCTATTCAGCAGCTCGATTGTGAATTACATCCATTTTCTTTATTATATCAATACCCTGTTCCCCTGAAAATGAGACCTCGTATGATTTTTCAGGATGCTCGTAATATAAGCCCTACCCTGACAAATAAGCCCTAGTTGAGTGACAACCCACCTTCCACCACTGTGCAGCAACCAGAAGATGACATGACTGTATTTGAATAAACGCAAATTACTGGTACATGGAAGTGAAAGGAAAGTCCAATGCTGCAAAGAAAAATACTGCATAGGAACCTGGAATGTAAGATCTATGAAACTTGGGGAGCTGGATGTGGTCAAACAGGAGATGGCAAGAATAAACATCGCTATCCTGGGCATCAGTGAACTAAAATGGATGGAAATGGGCAAATTCAATTCAGACAATTACCATACCTCCTGTTGTGGGCAAGAATCCCGTAGAAGAAATGGAGCAGCCCTCAGAGTCAACAAAAGAGCGGGAACAACTGTACTGGGATACCATCTCAAAAATTATAGAATGATTTCAACATGAATCCGAGGCAGACCTTTCAACATCACAGTAATCCAAGTTTATGTACCAACCACCAATGCTGAAGAGGCAAAAATTGATGCCTCTATGAAGAATTACAACACCTTCTAGAACTGACACCAAAGAAATATGTTCTTCTCATTATAGGGTATTGGAATGCTAAAGTAGGGAGTCAACAGATAAAAGGAACAACAGGTAAGTTTGGCCTTGGAGTTCAAAATGAAGCAGGGCAAAGGCTAATCGAGTTTTGTTAGGAAAAAAAGTTGGACATCACAAACACTCTTCCAACAACACGAGAGGCAACTCTACACATGGACATCACCAGATGGGCAATAGCGAAATCAGATTGATTATGTTCTCTGCAGCCAAAGATGGAGAAGCTCTATACAGTCAGTAAAAACAAGACCTGGTGCTGATTGTGCCTCTGATCATCAGCGTCTTATAGCAAAATTCAAGCTTAAACTGAAGAAAGTAGGAAAAACCACTGGTTTAGTCAAGTAAAATCAAAACCCAATCCCTTATGAATACACAGTAG